ATGAAGGAAACACATTCACTATCACTCATTCAATAGCTTAAGTTTGCCTGAAATGCTCTTCATAACTATGGACTTTCAACATACACTCAAGTGTCACCATTTCTGTATAAACAATATATCAGGTTGAAATAAACTTGTTCTGCCATTAGTGTACAAACAATGTAATTGCAACATTATATTCACAAGAAAATATTAAACTCAAGAGAGAGCAGTAAACAGTATGGAAGAATTGTGTGCAGGGAAGGTAAGTACAAAATGGAAACACTTAATATAGTCTGTAGTGGAAGGAAGGCGGGGTAGGGGTCGGCCTAGGAAAGGTTGGAGGGAGGGGGTAAAGGAGGTTTTGTGTGCGAGGGGCTTGGACTTCCAGCAGGCATGCGTGAGCGTGTTTGATAGGAGTGAATGGATACAAATAGTTTTTAATACTTGACATGCTGTTGGAGTGTGAGCAAAGTAACATTTATGAAGGGGTTCAGGGAAACCGGCAGGCCGGACTTGAGTCCTGGAGATGGGAAGTACAGTGCCTGCACTCTGAAGGATGGGTGTTAATGTTGCAGTTTAAAAACTGTAGTGTAAAGCATCCTTCTGGCAAGATAGTGATGGAGTGAATGATGGTGAAAGTTTTTCTTTTTCGGGCCACCCTGCCTTGGTGGGAATCGGCCAGTGTGATAATAAAAACAAAATAATAAATGAAAGAAGAGGCACTGACAGCAGGACTGTCACACATGAAGTAATTATAACATTTACCATGGAATATAACCCCATAAACACTCACAACATTACAATGACTGCAAACAAACCAGGGAACAGGTGGGAGTTTAAAACCATGGTGAATCATAAACCTCCAGGGCAGTGTGTAAACCACTCCAGTGGTTTACACACAGGTCTGGAGTGGTTTAACAATCACTCACCATGGCTTTAAACCACACCCATTCCCTGGTTTAACACAAAAAAAGAAATAAAATGTGATTTATTCCCATTGTAATTATAATGTTTTCCAGCTTATTTAGGAACATATAAATGCTGTTTGCAAAATTCAATAATTAAAAATAATATAGGTAATTTTTTACTACACCGGCCATCTTGTACTGAGGCAATGTGACCTGGAATAGAAGAAACATTTTCACCATCATTCACTCCACCACTGTCTTGACAGAGTCACACAAACGTAACAGTTCAGCTGCCCCTCCATGCTGTATTATCACCACTCTTCCCTTAGAGTGCAGGTACTCTACTTCCCACCACCACCCCTCCCTCAGAGTGCAGGTACTCTACTTCCCACCACCACCCCTCCCTCAGAGTGCAGGTACTCTACTTCCCACCACCACTCCTCCCTCAGAGTGCAGGTACTCTACTTCCCACCACCACCCCTCCCTCAGAGTGCAGGTACTCTACTTCCCACCACCACCCCTCCCTCAGAGTGCAGGAACTCTACTTCCCACCACCACCCCTCCCTCAGAGTGCAGGTACTCTACTTCTCACTACCACTCCTCCCTCAGAGTGCAGGTACTCTACTTCCCACCACCACCCCTCCCTCAGAGTGCAGGTACTCTACTTCCCACCACCACTCCTCCCTCAGAGTGCAGGTACTCTACTTCCCACCACCACTCCTCCCTCAGAGTGCAGGTACTCTACTTCCCACAACCACCCCTCCCCCAGAGTGCAGGCACTCTACTTCCCACCACCACCCCTCCCTCAGAGTGCAGGTACTCTACTTCCCACCACCACTCCTCCCTCAGAGTGCAGGTACTCTACTTCTCACTACCACCCCTCCCTCAGAGTGCAGGTACTCTACTTCCCACCACCACCCCTCCCTCAGAGTGCAGGTACTCTACTTCCCACCACCACTCCTCCCTCAGAGTGCAGGTACTCTACTTCCCACAACCACCCCTCCCCCAGAGTGCAGGTACTCTACTTCCCACCACCACCCCTCCCTCAGAGTGCAGGTACTCTACTTCCCACTACCACCCCTCCCTCAGAGTGCAGGTACTCTACTTCCCACCACCACCCCTCCCTCAGAGTGCAGGTACTCTACTTCCCACCACCACCCCTCCCCCAAAGTGCAGGTACTCTACTTCCCACCACCAATCCTCCCTCAGAGTGCAGGTACTATACTTCCCACCACCACCCCTCCCTCAGAGTGCAGGTACTATACTTCCCACCACCACCCCTCCCTCAGAGTGCAGGTACTATACTTCCTACCACCACCCCTCCCTCAGAGTGCAGGCACTCTACTTCCCACCACCACCCCTCCCTCAGAGTGCAGGTACTATACTTCCTACCACCACCCCTCTCTCAGAGTGCAGGTACTATACTTCCTACCACCACCCCTCCCTCAGATTGCAGGTACTCTACTTCCCACCACCACCCCTCTTTCAGAGTGCAGGTACTATACTTCCTACCACCACCCCTCCCTCAGAGTGCAGGTACTATACTTCCTACTACCACCCCTCCCTCAGAGTGCAGGTACTATACTTCCTACCACCACCCCTCCCTCAGAGTGCAGGCACTATACTTCCCACAACCACCCCTCCTTCAAAGTGTAGGCACTATACTTCCCACCACTACTCCTCTCTCAGAGTGCCGACACACTCTACTTCCCACTATCACCCCTTTCTCAGAATAGAGGCACTATACTTCCCACCACCACCTCTCCTTCAGAGTGCAGGACACAGTACTTCTCACCTCCAGGATTCAAGTTTGGTTTACTAGTCTCTCTGAATCTGTTTATAAATGTTACCTTCTTCACACTCCAACAGCACATCAAGTCTTAAAACCACTTGCTTCCACTCACTCTTATTTAAGACACTATGTATAAATGCCTACTGGATGTCCAAGCCCTTCACACACAAAATCTCCTTTACCCCCTCCCTCCAACCTTCCCTAATAATAATAATAATAATAATAATATTTATTCACTACAAGTACATGTACAAGGTATACGGGCCTAGCCGACATCAATGACATACTACTATATAGAAAGTGCTTGTTATGATGAGTATTTCGGGCAAATTAGGTCAGTTTTGTCCCAGGATGTGACCCACACCAGTTGACTAAATCCCAGGTACCCATTTTACTGATGGGTGAACATAGATAACCAGTGTAAGGAAACACGTCGAATGTTTCCACCCCTTCGGCAGGAATCAAACCCGGACCCTCACCATGTGAAGTGAGAGCTTTAGTCAACAGGCCGCGTGGCCTTCCCTCCACTACAGATTTATACATCCTCCCAAGTTATCCTATTTTGTTTCATCCTCTCTAAATGCTCAAACCACTACAATAACCCCTTCTCAGCCCTCTGGATAATACATTTGCAACCTCGCACCTCTAATTTCCAAATTATAATTCTCTGCATAATATTCACATCACAAATTACCCTCGGACACCACATAGCCAAGAAATTACTGGTAATATTTACGAGAAGATTCTGGGGAAACAGTTAGCTGGAACTGAATTCTAGGAGAGGGAAGTACAGTGCCAGCACTATGAAGGATGGTTGAGGATGTTACAGTTCTGGAGGTGGGAAGTACATTACCAGCACTATGAAGGATGGTTGAGGATGTTACAGTTCTGGAGGTGGGAAGTACAGTACCAGCACTGTGAAGGATGGTTGAGGATGTTACAGTTCTGGAGGTGTGAAGTATAGTGCCAGAACTGTGAAGGATGGTTGAGGATGTTATAGTTCTGGAGGTGAGAAGTATAGTGCCAGCACTGTGAAGGATGGTTGAGGATGTTATAGTTCTGGAGGTGAGAAGTACAGTGCCAGCACTGTGAAGGATGGTTGAGGATGTTATAGTTCTGGAGGTGGGAAGTACAGTGCCAGCACTGTGAAGGATGGTTGAGGATGTTCCAGTTCTGGATGTGGGAAGTACGGTGCCAGCACTGTGAAGGATGGGTGAGGATGTTACAGTTCTGGAGGTGGGAAGTACATTACCAGTGCTATGAAGGATGGTTGAGGATGTTACAGTTCTGGAGGTGGGAAGTACAGTACCAGCACTGTGAAGGATGGTTGAGGATGTTACAGTTCTGGAGGTGTGAAGTATAGTGCCAGAACTGTGAAGGATGGTTGAGGATGTTATAGTTCTGGAGGTGAGAAGTATAGTGCCAGCACTGTGAAGGATTGTTGAGGATGTTATAGTTCTGGAGGTGAGAAGTACAGTGCCAGCACTGTGAAGGATGGTTGAGGATGTTATAGTTCTGGAGGTGGGAAGTACAGTACCAGCACTGTGAAGGATGGTTGAGGATGTTATAGTTCTGGAGGTGAGAAGTATAGTGCCAGCAATGTGAAGGATGGTTGAGGATGTTATAGTTATGGAGGTGGGAAGTACAGTGCCAGCACTGTGAAGGATGGTTGAGGATGTTCCAGTTCTGGATGTGGGAAGTACATTACCAGCACTATGAAGGATGGTTGAGGATGTTACAGTTCTGGAGGTGGGAAGTACAGTACCAGCACTGTGAAGGATGGTTGAGGATGTTACAGTTCTGGAGGTGTGAAGTATAGTGCCAGAACTGTGAAGGATGGTTGAGGATGTTATAGTTCTGGAGGTGAGAAGTATAGTGCCAGCACTGTGAAGGATGGTTGAGGATGTTACAGTTCTGGAGGTGAGAAGTACAGTGCCAGCACTGTGAAGGATGGTTGAGGATGTTATAGTTCTGGAGGTGAGAAGTATAGTGCCAGCACTGTGAAGGATGGTTGAGGATGTTACAGTTCTGGAGGTGAGAAGTACAGTGCCAGCACTGTGAAGGATGGTTGAGGATGTTATAGTTCTGGAGGTGGGAAGTACAGTACCAGCACTGTGAAGGATGGTTGAGGATGTTATAGTTCTGGAGGTGAGAAGTATAGTGCCAGCACTGTGAAGGATGGTTGAGGATGTTATAGTTCTGGGGGTGAGAAGTATAGTGCCAGCACTGTGAAGGATGGGTGAGGATGTAATAGTTCAGACTGCATCAGTATCAAATAAAGAGCAGCAGAATAGAGAGGACATGGTAAATGAACTTACTGTTGTGTTAATGATGCCAGCTCCATGTGTACGGATAGAGTTAGCAATATGCTTGATGGTAACAGTGTTGAGATGCTTATTGTTGCTGCTAGCTTCCATGAAGAACTGCTGGTTCAGGTTATACAGATAGTTCTGAACAAACACATGAATGTTGCGCATAATCTCCAGAACATCCACACCCTGTAGAGAGTAAACACAATGTGAGTGACAGCTCCCAACTCACTAGTCTACAGTCAGGGACCCACATACAGTGGAACCCTGACTTACGAGTTTAATCTGTTTCAGGAGCTAGCTCGTAACTCAATTTACTTATAAATAACAAAAAAAGGCACAATACCGTGACTGGAACGATACACAAATAACCCACACATAAAAGAGAGAAGCTTACGACGACGTTTTGGTCCGACTTGGACCATTTACAAAGTCACACTAACCATAAGTGGAGCAGGACGGCTATATGTTCAAGCTATCGGTAGCGGCAGTGGCAGCAGCGACCTCCAAGCTCCGTACTTTTCTCCAACTATCAGCTACCAATGCTCCTATGATGACCTAGTTACATGCAAAACTACACTACCCAACGTAGCACCAAGAATGACCAAAGATTACCAACAGTGAAACCTACAAATCGAACATAATAGAGATCAAAGGAAGACTGCCCACAAACTGAAAGCAACACCCCGCTGCCAGCTGAACAACGTAACCCTAAACTTTGTATAACTACAACTTCTTCTTAACTACAACAATTCCTGTAGTATTATGAGGCGCAATCTAAGAGGAAACAGCACCAAGGCCAGCAAGAAAACGCCGAAAAATCAACTATTCAACAAGTGTAGTCAGGAGGACGCCGGCCCAGCAACCACCCCACTCACCACCACTCAAGGCGACACCACACCAATAACAACAAACATGGCTGCCACCAGCCCATCCTCCCCTCTCTTCCCCGGATTCAACCTACCAAGTAGCCCTCTCAGGTATGACCAACGATCCAGATACCCTTAAGTCATGCATCTCCAACTTAGTTATTGAAAATATGAATCTTCGAGAGACGCTAACAAAACAAGACACCAGATGACACAACTCGAGAACAAAATCCTCAGTCTTGAACAAAAGTTTATCAACACCGGAATGACAAACTGTGACAAGACCATCCAAACAGTTATAGATAGCCATACCCAACAAAAAATCTCTTAATACAAAGGTTGAAGAAGCAGTAAAAGACTGGAAGAACAACTTAGATAACCAGTTCAGTGACTACTTTGCTCTCCAAGAAGATAAAACTGAACAAGATAAACTATCGGACGCAGTAATAGTTAACAGTCCACTTTTTCCCAGTGATATGAACCAAACAAACAGTAAAGAAATTACTCTGCAGATCATAAAGGACCAAACAAGTGTTATTGTACCAGAGTCTGAAATAAAAGAAGCCAGGTTACTAGATCCCATGGTAGAAAAAAGTGTTATGCTTAGATTCCACTCACATGACAGGAAAAAAGACTTAATTATTGCATCTATTAAAGTAAAGAAAGAGGTATACATAAACGAGTGTCTTACCAAAAAACGTCAGAATCTCCTGTATAGAGTCAGAAAAAATTAAGCGGAGAATAACGACACAATACACCAATGCTTCACACGGGATGGGAAAATTCTTGTTAGGAAAACAAATTAGGTCAACTGTAAAACAATCACGAACGAGAATGATCTATCACGATTTCTCAGGATACTAATCTTACAGAGAATAACTAAACAATGTCCAACCTAAAAGCCTACGTAGTGTAGTGTATGTTTTGCTCCATTATTGTTCAAATTTCATTGTACAATCTCTTAGTATTTAAATAATCAACTACCTCATTTTTGTGATTTTACTAGTAAGCATAAGTCACCTTATGTAATTTTCTTATTTACTATTGTTTGCTTAAACATTAGCTGAATTGATACTTTCTCTGTCCATATTACTACCTCATATTTTTTTAAATACTATCAATTGATATTACCTACTAAAATTAATAATTATCATTTTTACTATAATTTCAATTTACTCTTAACATTTTTGACATTTAATAACCATTACTTGTCTAATTACCTTTACCTGTTTTATACCACATTTACTATCTTAGAGTACTCTTAATTACCTTGTACTGCCATATAACCTCTAGTATAACTACCAGTGCAATATTGAATGAAATAAACATTACTTTTTCACTTTTTTTGTAATCATTATTACTTACTAAAATTTTATTAAACACCATATTTACTACCAGTCAATTTTACTTTTGTACATTAAACATTATTTTATACTTCCCATAACAGTTTGTTGCCAAATTTTCAAGTTTGTATATTCAACTCCAACCTTTATATTATCCTTTGTACCTGTCTACCATCTTACTATCATATTATAACCAAGACATTACCATTATTCATTGTTCTTAAGATAAGATAAGATAAGATAAGATTTCGTTCGGATTTTTAACCCCGGAGGGTTAGCCACCCAGGATAACCCAAGAAAGTCAGTGCGTCATCGAGGACTGTCTAACTTATTTCCATTGGGGTCCTTAATCTTGTCCCCCAGGATGCGACCCACACCAGTCGACTAACACCCAGGTACCTATTTGCTGCTAGGTGAACAGGACAACAGGTGTAAGGAAACGTGTCGAAATGTTTCCACCCGCCGGGAATCGAACCCGGGCCCTCCGTGTGTGAAGCGGGAGCTTCAGCCACCAGGCCACCCTGTCCATTTAATTTTGTTTACCACTACTTGTTTTTTTAGTCACTTTTTATTGTGTGTGCAATTAGTGTATTTTCCCAAATTTAAATTTTTTTTTCCAAGGGAAACCAAAACTATTTTTTGCAGCTAGTCCCAACTCCCCTCTTTTTTTTTTTACTTTTTATTGTGCAATAAACTGCTCAAATTATTTAATATTACAAATCAGATCTTACTCCTAAACCAATATTATTTCATATGACTATCTTTTCCTTTTTAAAACTTTTTTAAAAACATTATTTTAAATTGTGCCCCCTTATATATTTTTTTTTGCCCTTTAAATTTTTAGCTTTATATAACTCCCTTTAAATTTTTCAAAAATTTTTCAAAAACTGTTAAACTAAATAAAGGGTTTCATTCTCGGGTGCAAAAATTTAAAAAGTTTCACTTTTGCCTTTAAAACCCCAAAAGCTTTAATTTTTAAATTACCATTTTAATTGTTTCACCCCCAAATTTCTTTTTATTTTTTATTTTTAAACACCCGGGCCCATTCCCCCCAAGGCGGGGTGGCCCGAAAAAGAAAAACTTTCACCATCTTTCCCTTTCCAAAACTTTTTGGGCCAGAAGGGTGCTTTTACCCTATTTTTTTTAAAACCCTGCAACATTAAAAACCCCCCCTTTTCAGATGCGGCCCCGTATTTCCCATCCCGGGACCCCAAGCCCCGGCCCTCCCGGTTTCCCAAACCCCCTTCAAAAAATTTTACTTTGCACACACTAAAAACGGGCACGTCAATAAAAAAAACCATTTGCCCTCCTTTCATTCCTTTCCAAACACGCTCAGGGAAAATGCCCCTGCGGAAGTCCCAACCCCTGCACACAAAACCTCCTTTACCCCCTCCCTCCCAAACCCCTTTCCCAGGCCGACCCCCCACCCCCCCCCTTCCCTTTCCCCTACAACGGGTACAAATCTTTAAAAATCATTCTGTTTCGCTCCATTTTTCTCCCAATTTCCGAAACCCCCTCAACAACCCTTTTCCTTTACCCTCTGGGACAACAGTTTTTGGGAATTTCGCACCTCCCCTTTCTTCCAAAAATAAAAATTTTTTTTGCATTATATTTCCCCACCACACATTGCCCTCCCGACATGACACTCCACTGCCTTCCCGCCTTCCCCGCTGCAACATTCATCACCCACGCTTTTTTCACCCCAAATAAGGAAACGTTGGGAAAACTATAAAACCCCAACCTTCCCCTCTTTTCCTCCAAGGGCCCAAAAATCTTTGTCTCCACCGACCCCCTAAGTTGGGACCACTCACTCTTTTTCCCTTTAAACAATTTTAAAGATTTACCCATCTTTCATAGACCCATTTCCCCTGACCCCTCCACTTTCCCCAAAAACCCGAATACGTTCACCCCTCCATACTCCTCTCCCCCCCAATCCCCGATTTAAACAATCTTTTTTCACCTAATCTTTTTGTTATCCTCATAACCTTACTCTTTCCTGTATTCACCTTTAATTTTCTTCTTTTGCACACCCTACCAAATTCATCCACAATCTCTGCAACTTCTCTTCAGAATCTCCCAAGAGCACAGTGTCATCAGCAAAGAGCAGCTGTGACAACTCCCACTTTGTAAGTGATTCTTTTATCTTTTAACTCCACGCCTCTTGCCAAGACCCTCGATTTACTTCTCTTACAACCCCATCTATAAATATATTAAACAACCACGGTGACATCACACATCCTTGTCTAAGGCCTACTTTTACTGGGAAAAAATTTCCTTCTTTCCTACATACTCTAACTTGAGCCTCACTATCCTCGTAAAAACTCTTCACTGCTTTCAGTAACCTACCTCCTACACCATACACTTGCAACATCTGCCACATTGCCCCCCTATCCACCCTGTCATACGCCTTTCCAAATCCATAAATGCCACAAAGACCTCTTTAGCCTTATCTAAATACTGTTCACTTATATGTTTCACTGTAAACACCTGGTCCACACACCCCCTACCTTTCCTAAAGCCTCCTTGTTCATCTGCTATCCTATTCTCCGTCTTACTCTTAATTCTTTCAATTATAACTCTACCATACACTTTACCAGGTACACTCAACAGACTTATCCCCCTATAATTTTTGCACTCTCTTTTATCCCCTTTGCCTTTATACAAAGGAACTATGCATGCTCTCTGCCAATCCCTAGGTACCTTACCCTCTTCCATACATTTATTAAATAATTGCACCCAACCACTCCAAAACAATATCCCCACCTGCTTTTAACATTTCTATCTTTATCCCATCAATCCCGGCTGCCTTACCCCCTTTCATTTTACCTACTGCCTCACGAACTTCCCCCACACTCACAACTGGCTCTTCCTCACTCCTACAAGATGTTATTCCTCCTTGCCCTATACACGAAATCACAGCTTCCCTATCTTCATCAACATTTAACAATTCCTCAAATATTCCTTCCATCTTCCCAAT